ACAATTTCAGTGGTGAACTACTAAACAACAGGTACTCGAGGTACGACGGATTATTTAGTGACCGTTCAAAGTTACAACACCTCCCAAAAGCTCTATATAACCGTGATTCGAAGATAAGAATTTTTCAAAAGTTATCCCATCATTCGCACTTTTGAATGACTGGGCAGATTCAAAACTTTGCAGAGCCCACCTATCCCTCCGTCCCCCCATCCTTGCTCTGCCAGATCCCCAAAGGCATGGGCCTGCTTTTCCCCCCTGTCCCACCCCTCACAATGCCTTGTTTACCTTCCGGTTTACCTGCCTTGCACTTTTTTTGCACATGCTTGTAACTTGTATAGTTTTATCATAACCTTGTGATATAGAAGCTTTCTGCTTTAGCAGAAATTGTATGGTTGAAATTCTCCCTTTTCGCCACAGTCTCATTTGATTCGGGACTGTAAGGACCCACTTCAGTCTACATCTTAAGAAAGCAGAACTCTTGGAAACGGTCTCTTCCAACAGGAACTTTTTTTAAAAGAAACTGATAGCAGGCATGATAGACAGGATCCGAGGGGTTCCCGTATACATCGATGTTTTAAAGTGTCCCTAAGCAAACTCCTCCCCACGTTCCTTCCAGCTGTCTCAGGCCAGCCATTCTCTAGGTGTTAAACCCATGAAAGAGAACATCAAACCGGCTCCAGGATCATCCAGCAGCTCTTCAGAGTTTATCTTGACGACAGAGAAATAAACCAAATTCCGGAGGTTTGTGTCTTTTCACACACACACCCTTTTTTTTAGTTGCCCCGTAAGGAAGAGAGGTTCAGAGGGAAATAGGATGAGAGTCAAATAGTTCCATTTTAATGGTTAGTAGAGGGGAATAAACAAAAGGTTACTTTTTCGTGAATGGAGGAAGTGAAAGTAATAAAACCCGCATGCCTTATCTCCCCTCCCCCTTGGGAGTATGGCAGGACCCAGGAAAGGGTAAGAATTGGTTTTAGATTAGAGGAGAGAGATAGAAAGGAAATATAACTGGATCCTGACAGTGACACTTTTTCCCATGCAAACGTCCTTTTTTAAAAAAAATTATTGAACACAGAAAGAAAAAGAAATTAAAAACATTGAACATGATATATCGTCTTTGACATATATCTTCGTCTTGTCAATCATACTGTACATTTAAATAGGTATTATTTATATATATACACAACTGTACATTCCTAGTATCTTAATCTATTTATATCTCTTCTGTTGACTCCATTCTTTTTTCCCTCCATTTGTAAAATTTATTCCAAATTAGATAATATTCTATTTCTTCCTGGTTTTTTAATTCTTTAGTCATCTTATCCAATTCTGCGCAATACATAATTTTCCTTATTAATGCATCCCCACTAGGCACTTCAGTTGCTTTCCAATTTTGAGCAAACAGGATTCTTGCCGCCGTTATCATGTGTATGATTAAGTATGTATCACCTTTATTTATGTTTTTTCCTAATATTCCTAATAATAACGTCTCTGGTTTGTATTGAATCAAACGTTCTTTTAATGCAATGCTCATTTTCAAGGTTTATGCTTAATATTATGGGATGTTGCTGTCCGTGTCTCTTACATCACAGCTTTTCACAGCTTTTACCACAATATTTGAGGACCACCAGTGCTTAGCAAGGTATCAAAAAATTGATGACTAAAAAAAGGGGGGGGGAATTTTGGGATTTACTGACTGGATTCATTAGTTGTTATAGAAATGGCTAGTTAATAATGATTAACTATAATAATAATTATTTAATTATTAAAGTAAAAAGATGAGGTTCAA